TCTCTCTCTCTCTCTCTCTCTCTCTCTCTCTCTCTCTCTCTCTCTCTCTCTCTCTCTCTCGCTCGCTCGCTCGCTCGCTCCGTGCGCGAAGGCGCTTCTGACAGCCAAGAATGTGGCGCGGCCAAGAAAGTGGAAAAATAAGAAAGCCACTCACCAAGGTCTCGCTGCACTACCGTGGTCACCGAGACAAGAAAGAAAGGGGTTGTATTTGTCCACATTCTAGTGGAAGATATATTTGCATTTTGCACATCTGCTGAGGAGTGGAGCAAGGGCCCAAGTAGGGGAAAGGAATGAAACTCAACCCAAAACATGGAAAGGTACATCGCTACTTTACTTTTACCTTCTTGCCAAGGCTCTGAGGCCCCCAGCCGTGGTCCACAGCTGAGCCTACTCAGCCTGGACCCCACCCCCTTGTGCAGGCAAAGTTGGTCTCGTTCACTCGAACATAACGCGTATGCGCTGTAAACGAATACAACGCACGGTATGTGCGTTGTATTCGTTTACAACGCATATGCCTTATGTTCGGGGGAAGACGGTGGGTTTGTGCTGAGAAAGCATGAACCTGGTTGTAAATATGGCCAGGTTTACAATTCCTGTGTGAATGTGGTCCCTGCCTGCGTGCATAGTTACAGGAGGGCTGTATGTGCATTATGATGCAGGCCAAATTCAGACATGAATGAGATGGGTAGATACTAGATATGCCTTTACAACTCCCTACCTTAGTACCTACGCTCTCGTTTCAATTTTGCTGGTCGTAACTCTCTGCCTCCCTGCAAACAGTGTGGGGACTTTTTTTTTTTTTTTTTTTTTTTTTTTTTTTCAGGTTCGTTTTTGGCCATGGGGCCATGGGGAAATTTTTCTCAAGTTGCGGACCATGATTTTCATAAAGTTGGCTTGAGGATTGAGATTTTGAGATCGCGGTTTTCGTCTCGATTTTGTGATGTGCAGGATGTGTACCGGATTGGGACATTGTTGGAGCTGATACGCGAGATTGCATTTACGTTTGCCCAGGATGGAAAAAGAGTGAAGGTGTGTGTATGTGGTGCGGCTCTGCACGCAAAACTTTATCCTGTGCCTTCCTCTCTACGTCCTTCCGTCTGTTTCCTGAATCAAGCAAGCATCGTAAACCACCGCTGTCCCAAGCCTTGATTTTCATGTGGAGGAAATTTTTTATTTTTTATTTTCCCGTCGATGACGTATCGGACCAGGCTCAGTGCGGTACATTGAAAGACCGGGCTCCACGTGTATGACGCGGCAACCGTGAAATTCGGCCCAACGTAAACTGGCTCTTGCTTTTTGCTCCAGGGAAGGAAAGAAGGGAAAGTGAGTGACTTGTCTCTTGCATAACATTGGATTTCATTGGATGAGGTCGGATGCGGTTCGTGGATCCACACACCCGAATAGAACGCCCCAGTCATTATCGCTGCATCTGGACCGAAAGTTGTGCTAAATACAGCTATAAATTTCTATAATGTGATCAGAACTTAGAAGTTAGAAGTACAGGTCTTTGCCGAAGAAGGTGTAAGGTTGTCAAGGTCACTTTCTTTTTTTCTCTCTCTCTTTTTTTTTTTGGTTGTTGTTGTTGTTGTTGTTGTTGTTGTTGTTGTTGTTGTTGTTGTTGTTGTTGTTGTTGTTGTAGTTAAAACAGCTCCTTAGGGTCTTGTTCTGGCGACTTTCTCCCGACAAAGACAACAATACATAGCTTGACCCACTCAGCACTTCCCACCCGTTTCAGACCCCGACAAATCCCTCCCTCTCAAGCGTTTCGACGGCATTGATTGCTCACCCCACCTCAGGTAGGATTAACCTCCTTAGGATGGATGAACTGCAGTTAATCCTTTTTTTTTTTTTTTTTTTTTTTTTTTACTGCAGCTAATCCTAACTGTCAGTTTGGCCTTCTTTACCGATCCCTCGCAGTCTACTCGCGAAACCACTTCTCTCATCATTGCGGGACCACTGGCCGCCATTGTCCGCCGCTTCACTGTCTGCGTTGTATGCCAGTTTAGTTTTTGAAGTTTTTGACTGTTTTATAATTTAAATGTGTTTTTCCAATTTTCCAATTTAGCCATTGTCCGTCCTTCGATTGGATGCTATCTTGCTGCTTAACAATCTGTTAGTTCTGCCGAGAACAGGCTTTGTACTGCTGCTGCTCCTGCTCAGGTTTTGTTTTGTTTGAAATTTGAATCAACATGTTGGTTTCTCACCAATGTTTTATTCGGATTTCTGCGTCAATCAAGTCCTTTTGTGGAGAGGTCCACTCCTTCTGCCTGTGGTTGAATCAACAGGCTTTTTTTTAATTCTTTTCTTGAACTTTTTCCCTTTTTTGAAATTCACAGTTACTTGCCAGCTTGACCAGTTGATTGGAAAATTGGAAATCCATTTGAATGAGGCTGAGAAGGACCTGCCTTAGAAAAAAAAAAACTCAACCCGGAATGCATTTAAATAAATTAAATTTTAAACTGAGAGCATTACTCAGCTTAGCTTCTTGATATGTATCTCATTCTTTAGTCTAAGCTCGTCCTATGTACTATTGTCCGGTTCGTCGCGAATGAGAAATGATTTTATAAACCTGTTCGGAAGATTTCAGTACTTGTCCAATATCTGATCCTGGTAAAAAGAAACTCCTTCAACTGGATCAACGCTCGGCGTGCAATCTGATCATCTTCCTTGCACTCCTCACTCAGTTTCCAACTCTCTCTCTCTCTCTCTCTCTCTCTCTCTCTCTCTCTCTCTCTCTCTCTCTCTCT